TGTGACTAAAGAAACTCTAACCCAGAATCTTGTATCCCTCTATTTAATTTGGAAAACCTGAACTGTTGTCAGTAACCTAAGCACTCAGATCTTTAAACCTCTCTTAGTTGATCAATTTGTCCCCTACAGCAATTTATACTGCGGTAATTCCCACTGATGCCACTGAGGGAAGCACTAAACAATTACAGACTAGCCTGCTGCTGAACTCTGCTAACTAGGTGCCCGTGATTCAAGGAGATATTTCTGTCTGTTTAGGCCACTGGCAGTTTTAAAGTCCAATTGTCTTGCTTTTGGCTCCATGGAGACTAGAAGGCTTCCCACCATTTGATGCTAAGAACAAAGGATTTATGCTGACCAGCGACACCAAGACTGGACTCACAGTCCTCTGGAGCACTGCCTCTATCCAACCAGCATGAAACTGTATTAAAATATCGAGCTTGAGTTCCTGTGCAGCTCTCCAAACATTGAAGACTATTTTAACTGTGGTTCTAAGTTCAGCTGAGGCCACAAATATTGCACTTCATAAAAGCATTATGGAATGCGAACCAGCTATTACAGGATATTTCCCAGATATGACTGTGCTGCTATCATATCATCTGTCTCTCCCACTGGACTTCACAGGATAGGATAGTTCAGGTCAGCAGTGACCTCAAAGTCTGTAGGCCAACCTTCTGCTCAAAGCAGGGTCAGCTGTGGGGTCAGACCAGGTTGCTTGGGACTTTATCCAGTTGGGCCTTGAAAACTGCCATGGATGGAGACTGCACAGCCTCTCTGGGCAACCAGTTTCTCCACTGCACTGTCCTCATGGTGAAGAAGCTTTTTCCTTGTGTCTAGAGTGTGAACTTCTCTGAAATTTCAGTTTTTGCCCACTGCCTCTCATCCTCCTGCCATGAACCACTGTGAAAAGCCTAGCTCTCTCATCCCAGTCCCCTCCCGGTAGGTGCTGGGGCTGCTGTGAGTCTTCCCAAAGCTCTCTCTTCTCCAGGCTGAACAAGCCCAGCTCCCTTGGCCTCTCTTCACAGGGCCAGTGCTCCAGCCTCCACCACCCTCGTGGCCCTGGCTGAACCCCCACCAGCTTGCCCACGTCTTTCCTGTGCTGAGGGTCCCAAAACTGGACCACGATATCTAGGTGTGGTCTAACAAGTGCCAGGTAGAGGGGGAGAGCCCAGTGCCTCGCCCTTCTGGTCAATACAGCCCGGGAGGCTGTTGGCCGTCTTTGCTGCTGGGCGTGCTGCTGGCTCGCGTTCCCCCAGGTCCCTTTCAGCACAGCTGCTCCCCAGCCCAGCAGTCCCAGCCTGTATTGTCGCAGGCCTTCTTCCTTCACTGGTGCAGGGCTCTGCCTTTGTCCTAGATGAATGTCCTGAGGTACCTGTGGCCCATTCCTCCAGCCTGTCCAGGTGATGCTGAACATCAGTGCTGCCCTTGATTACATTCCTATAGTTCGATGTCATTTGCAAACTTTATGAGAAGGCACCCAGTCTTCTTGTTCTGGTCACAGACAAACATCTTAAACAGGACAGATCCCAGGACAGACCCTTGCTGTACTCCACTTATTAGCAGCCTCACGGTAGCACAACCATTAACCTTATGAGCCTGATCATCCAGACAGCTTTTTACTCATAGAATTTTCCAACAGATTTTATTTAGATTTTCTTTCATTACATTGCATTCCCTGCACTGATCAGAACCTCTACTGTTCTTTGCAATATAAACTGTTCACTCACCTACCAGCATGTGAGGAACATCCAATGCATCCACATCAATTCCATCAGTAAAGAGAAATCATTACATCCAGAACCAGGCTTTATACAATGTTTAAATAATGCAACCATTTTGGAGAGGAACCTTTCCACCATTTAGAACTAGAGTTTATCACATGCAATAGTTGCTATATTAAAAAAAAAAAACCTAATTAACCTCTCTGTATGAGTTAGTACATAAATAAAGAAACTATAATAGCACAGTAGGGGTGTTTTAATGTCATATGAAGCTATATAGCAATTATTCTGTGTACCATGACTAACTCTTGAAAAAATCTTAAGAATATTAATCAGATGAAGCTACTATTGTCAAAATGATATTCCTCATTCTAAATACAGCTTTGTGATTTCCTGCTATTAAAAGTATGTTTATTGCTACCTTGGCTAATAATTCCAGTTATCCACAGCAGAGGTGTTTCTCACCCTGTGGTTCACAGATCACTGACAGTAAGACAACCAATAATGATCCGAAACCCCCTTCTTCCTATTAAAAGTCCTGAACACGTGAATAAACTTATAAAACAGGAGAAAGTAAAATTAATACAAAATTAATACAAAAGAGTATTTTAAATGTAGCTGAAATTTTAAGTCATTTACAAATAGAAAGCTTTACTGGGCAACATTGCAAAAGGTAGCCCTAGCTCCCCCTCTCCCCCCTCTCCCAGCAAATCTGAGACATCTCTCATTTAAAAAGGTTTGGAAACATGCATCTGTAAAGGTATAGGTTTGTACAAGAACAGCAGGCTGACAGCAGTGCTTGCTATTTCTATAAAAGACTCATATATTTGCAGTTCGTAACTATGCTGTATATATCCATAACAGAGAAAAACTGGATGCAAAGAAATTGAATAAACAGCATAAATAGAGGGGAGTTTTCAGTAGTGACCTTCCTGCTAAATTAATTCTAGTAGTTAAAAGGAGACTTGTAACTTTGCCATTATTTTTTCCATGTTTTGAAAGAGTGAAACGTGCAAGAAATTGCATGTACTCACCAAGAGGATTTTTTCTCTTAAATTCTAATGATCTGAGATGGAAAATTGATACCGATTCAAAAAATGTAAGAAAAAAAAAAGTTATTAGCAAAAGTGAATTCCACTACATATGAAAGATTCCTCATAGGATCTTAAGAAGTCATGTGTTTGCATATACACACACTTTATACATACACAGGCACACATTCCGTTCCTTGACAGCAGTAGCTGAAATGACAAAGCTCATCAGTCTCAAGATTGTGCTGACCTCATTGATGATACTGATTCACAAACAAATACGCCTTAGCAACCTACATGCCAAAGGCTGCTGCCGATGACCCAAGAACAATGTTAATTTTACCTCCATTCAAACTAAAAGTGCTAAAGGCTGTAGCTGGCACTTTGGTGCCAGTTTGTCGTGCTGCTTATCAAAGCTAGAAAGGCAGAAACCCATAGAATAGTATGAATTAAAGAAAAGATGACCTATAAAAAGCGATGCTGCTAAAGACATTATTAATGATTTTGGTCATGAGCTTTTTGATAAGTTGTTTTGATACTATTTAATGTTTTAGATTACCTGAGAAGTGGGGACTGGAAGTTAACCCTTTGGCCTTTGAACCTGCAGGCCTGGTAAGTCTTCCACACAACAGAAAAGCACAAGTTCAGCAAGAAATGGTGGAAGTGCTATCCCCTCCTCATCCCAGTTTCATCACCAGCCTCATTAGGGCACTGTGACAGTGATAAGGATATTCACACCAAGGCTGAAGAGGTATTGAACACTGCATCAGGCACACCACAAGCTACTACATAGCTACTGGATTAGGATTTTCAGTGAACTTGGACCCTGAACACCTAATTTGTGGATTTAAGGGTGGTTAAAGTGTTAAACTGAATAAAGATCTGGCAAAAAGGAAGCAATTTTGCATATATGCTGAAGCAGAAATCCAAGCATACAGGAGTTTAAATTTTTACCTCTAAAATTCATTAGGAGATCATGCAAAGATTTTGTCAATTGTACAATGACATGTGTTCACATGTTGCAATTCCACCCAAGTCCATCTTAGGCCAGCAAAGGTTTTGCAGGTTGCGCTCTTGCATTCTTTCAGAGAAAATTCTCATAGCAAAAACTAGGCAGAGCAGGAAGCTGTGTTTCATTAAATAAACTGGGAATCGCCTACAGCAATGCCAAATGAATGCACTCAAGTCTTGTCTGATTTCTAAAGTTAGAGGATACCTAGCCTTGGTTAGCATGCAAGTATAAAACTACCTGGGAATTCCTAACCTAAGGAGTTACAGATGAACACTTACTGAACATTAAAACACACTAAAAAGATCAGTTCCCTTGTTGCTGGCATGATGGATGGATAGAAATTGTACCAGAATAAATCAACCTCTATGCAGCTTTCCTACATAGAGAACTTTTGCATCTGGCAAGTAAAGAAAGTAGTCTCAAGAGGATGAATTAAGTTAAACTAATAGGGTATGCCACCAAAAAAAAAAAAAAAAAGTAGCAGCCTGTTCTTCCCTGAATAAATAAATTAAAACAAATGGGGTATCCCCCAAAAAAAAAAAAAAAAGTAGTAGCCTGTTCTTCCCTGACCAGTTGGGCACAAAAACACCAAACTCGTGCTGTTCTGCAAGGCAGTCAATATAACCATTCTCTAAAGACACTCCTTAGTCTGTACAGCTTACACTCTGTGATAACTGGGAACAACTAAATTGAACAGTATTTTCATGATTTGCTTGACTACATCTTCACTTTCACTGTCCTATCTTCATCCTTCCAAATATGATTTAGTAGGTAAAACATAAGCTTTGCCAGTGAACAGGCAAGAGAAAAATTAAAGTTGCTTCCAAGGATATACACACTCACCCGATTACATGTGTGATGTTAACAGTGCTGGACATACAATAATGATGCTTTTATGACCATTTTTCATTAGCCTCCCCTCCTCTCCCTCATTTTACAGGATCTTCCAGAGATACTAGCGGCCAAAGTTAATTTGTCTGAGTATTTCAGAGGCATGATTCTGACCTGAAAAGTACATGAAAGCAGACCTAGAACTTGGATTTTTTTTTTTTTTTTTTGGAGAAGGACAAACTTTCTCATAACTAAAGGCAGAACATAGTGTTTCTTCCAAAATAATCAGATATGAATAATCAGATCACGAAGAAAACAATCAACATTACAACAAAAACTGTACTTCACAAAAGATATGGGAAGTTCATTTTTACAGCAGAACAAGATTAACTGTCTTTAACGCATTAGTTTCAGTTAATATGAAATAGCTTTATTTATACATTCATTTACTTAGCCAAAAGGACAGGTGATCGTGTGAACAGCTGGTCTGTTCAAAATCATTACAGGGAACATTTCTGCTACCAGCAACTTTACTTTTGAGCAGTGATCTACATCACTTACAGAATCCACCTGTAAAAATTAAGAGATAACCTCCATCCCACCTGTCCCCTCCCAAAACAAAAACTTTCATCAATTTTTTTCTGCTAATACACACTTTTATACCAGTGAAAGGAATAACAAATCTTAAAACATGCATTAAGTGGTGGCTATTCCTTTAGCAAGATGAAGTATTTCGCATAGGAACAGAGTCTGTTATCTTTAAATTAAGCAACTTCTTGTATTAGAGCAGAATTAAATGGCAGTACTGTAGTACTCATATAGTGTATGTCCATTCCCAGGCAGGTTTCTCCCTTTGGCCTTTGTTGCTTTATCCAGTCAAGATATGTCATACATGTCCGGTAACTCTAATTGTCCAGAAGTCCCTAGATTATTAAACCTTAGCATTTTCTTTCAGGGTTAAATTAAACTTGCTCCATCATCTCCCTAGTGGGAGTAAGGGATTAGTTATATAGTGGGAGGAGCCTGATAAAAAACAAAAAACCAAAACATGTTATTTCTTCCTTCCAAAAAAAAAAAAATCCAAACAATCTGGATATCTGCCACTGGATGGACAGACATATGTACGTGCCAGGGAATAATATGTGGTTGGATGCTTTACTTAGTTAACTATCTATAGCCACTTTCCTCTGGCTAAATAACCTAGCAAATAAGACAACTAAGTTGTGTTTTTTTTTTTTTTTTAAACCTATAGCACTTCAGTGAGTTGTATGTTGTACCTTAGATGGCATTATTTTGAGTGAATACTAGGACGTTTTCCAGTCTTACTCAGAATATATTAGACTGATGTCTCATCTCATCATCCTCCTCTTTTGAGTTAACTCATCTGCAACTAGCTTCCTGGTAGGAATTTGCAGTACCCAACAGTGCCCCAAATGGCATCCAGTCACAACTATCAATTAATTTGTTCTCTTTAAAACTATAGATCCATGGCTTCAGTATTCCCAGAAGCCAGCACCAGGTTGCTGCATAATCAGGAAACGTGGCATAACGGTAGAGAAACAAGAAGTAAGTTTGCACAGAGCAATAGCCAAAGTAAATGTCAGCAGAAGTCCAGCCATGTTTGTTTCCCAGTGTATCAAGCTTACACCAGACTGACACCACTGCAATGATCTAGACAATATCCTATAAACATCCATCTGACTCCATGCCATGTGGACAAACCTCCTTTATTTCCACCGCCACAAAAACCTCTGCGCCACTCTGATTTCTACAGAGTGATCATACTCAATGACTTCAAGGAAAGTAGAAGTGTGCTGCACATAATCATTTGACAATTTGAGGGATCTTTTAATATGCAAAAGATCTAGGCAAAAATCAAGATTCCTTCTTTATATCTCTAAGTCCCATAGGTAGAGCTAATGGAAATTGCAGCCTGTAGTCCCATTAGTCATTTTTACTCCAACTTGCACCTCCAAAACTGCACTCATGAACAAAACCTGCTATTTCACAAATGAAGAGATTCTAAGGTGATGCTGAAAACTCACCTTAGAGGTCTGCCATACTTTCTGTGACTTATTTTCACAGATTTTGTGGCAGTGGTCAAGTCTTCATCAATGAAGGAAAAGCCTATATTTAAGACTTATTTTTTGATTTTAAAAAATTCCAAAAGTTTCAAAAGCGAGCATCTACTGCTTAAAAAAAAAAAAAAAAGCAAAGCTTGTAATGGGTCACAATTCAGTAAAAATACACTAGGACTGACACATCAAATGTAAAATATTTCAATTTACTTTTAAGCAGTCTTGAACCTTTAATTATGGTAACAAATACAAACACTGAATTCAGTTTTAAGAAGGTGTGCAGAACAAGTAGATCTGAAAGCTGCTGCACAACGTATCTGCTGGATCTTCCACAGAAAGAGATAAGTAAAAAGCTGGGTTTTTTTAATTGTCCTATGACCCAGGGTCTAGTACTTCAATTTTTGGTACTCGATTCCAACAAGTCTTTTGCTTCATTTATTTTTGTTGCCAAATAAGGTGATCCACCTGAAAAGAAAGAGGGCAAAGGAATACCATTTACACACTCATACGAAATTTCAGACTACTTCTCTTACAGTATCCTGGTATTACTCAGTTTTATGAGCTCCTTCTTCCTAAAAAAAATTCCTTTGCAGAAGACTGATTTAAAAGTCTCATTGATAGGAAGTAAAATAATGAGTAGGGAAACATGACAAAAACGTAATCAAAACTGAAGTTACTGAAGAATAACGCTGAACAACTTGTCTCAGAAGTCATCTGATGAGGAAAAGTCTTAAAATGATCCTTTGAAATCACTTTAAATTAGCTTGACTTAGACTTGCAGTGCAGTGTTGCTGCAAATATATGCAAGGTCAACTGTCTTGAATGTTCATGTAAAGCTGATGGCTATTTTTCCCACCCACCCCGAAAACTAAGAGGCAAAATTTTATAAATATTTTTACCAATAAATAAGAAAAATAAAATAAATCAACATTCCCCCCACAAGCCTCTCCCACTCTAGACACCCAGAATTACCAGCTAGAAACTGTCACATTCAAGCTATTTAAACATGGTACGCCTTCTAACTTCTAGTCCTGAACACTGTCATTGCTTTACGCTCCATCTAACAATTTGATTACAGTTCAGTGGTCTTTTTGTGTTTGTTTTTTAACTCTCCCCTTGAGTGCCAACCATCTGCCTACAGTCACTGAAAACAACGTTACAAGGTCTATATCAGTAGCATGCCATTTACTAGAATACAGTTGTTTTTTTAATTATTATTACATAAAAAGGTTATTTGAGTAATACTGTACACTGCATAGCCTTTTCCAAGGCATCTGTCATAATTTTTCATTCAGCAGAAAAGATAGTGATAGAAGAGACATATAGAAGAACAAACACTAAACATATGTAAATAAAAACAAAAATGCAAAGCTTTCTTTAAAGACTTCTTTAGGACATTCCTGCAGGAATCCAAATCATTATGAAGTCATTTCACGGGCTATTACAACAACTGGAAGAAGTAATGGACTTCAGTTCCTTTGTTTGTGTTTTGGTTTTGTTTGAAGGTAGTCCTAACAGTTAAGATGTATTTGAGGAAAATGGGGCAGGGGAAAAACAGGGTAGAGAAATGACTACTGGAAAATAAATAATGTTTGTTTTTTGGGTTTTTTTGTTTTCTAAATCTATAGGCTTTTTAACCAGGAATAATATTTATTAGGCTGAGTATTGCTTCTTTCAAAGAGTAGACAAGAGTATCAAACAATAATGACTATAAACTGCAATAAACAATGTATGCCAAGTAATTTTTAGCTATGCATTGTTTTTCTAAATTCCAGGAGTGCATGATCTTCAAACGTGCTCGAAGTGTTTTCGCTATATTTACATCCTTAAGTGCCATATTAATTTTGTAGCCCTCCAATGAGAGGAAATTCAATCTCATGATTGCATAAGTGTTTGTTTATAATTAGGCAGGTCCAAAAGACTTATCTCTCCCTCTGCTTTTGGGAGCAAGTATTCTTTCAAAAAATTAGTGACTTAAAAATTAATATACAATGTATCAATATAAAAATAATTTTAAATTGAATTATGTAAAGATTAATGCACAATTGTTGTAATAGCCCTTACTGTGGATGTTATTATGACATCTTCTATATATATATTCCTTCTTACTCCTAATAATTCTCTCTTCAAAGTTTCAATTCTTAGCTAATATATGCAACTTTTTAAAATCAGTAATTATTGTCCTTTCTTTTGTCTACTCCAACTAATCAAATATTTTAGAATAACATTCAGCAGTTGAACATTGTTTTTAAAACCATGGCTTTGTTACTAGGGCCCTGAAGAAATCAAGCCATCTACGTAAGCAAACAGGTCTCTGCTGCCACATGTTCAAGATCACCCCAGGCCCTAGCTCTGCAGGTGAAGACATTAAACACATTTTTTTCTGTGGCTACACAAACAGAGCTGCAGGGCAGCACAGAGGCACAAACCCCTTAAACTGGTGTTCCTACTGAGAAAACGGTCTGTCTTGATAGCACAAAGGAGGCCTTCAAAGCCTACACTTTGTCCAGCAAGCCCTACACTGTGCCCAGCTGTAGGTGTGTTACAGCTGTAAGCCCGGGCCCTTAAAATGTATAATCTTCATTATAGGAATTGTCTCCCTAGGTCTACTCTGCATCCACACTGAGATTCATGGTTCTGGCTCAGGTCTCTGGATACTGCTACAATGAAATTAAAAAATTATCAAAAAATTTTAACCTACTATGTACTCTGTTGGTTAAGAGATCCCTGACCATCACAATACATTACAAATGCAGAAGAGAACAACTTCCCCAGTTTTTGTGTGTAGAGTTTATACGTTAAAAAAAGTGTAAAAAAAAAAAAAAAAAAAAAGAAGTAGTGTGACATCAGATAAGCAGGACAGCTTTAGAATTAAGTTGAGGAGTGAAGACAGCAAAGAAAAGCATCGACTAAACACACTGCCAAGGGTCATTGTTATTTTTCCTTTTTCTTAAGATGGGGCACAGGCAGGCAACCCTGTAATCCTGTCAAAAATATAAAAAACTTCCAATTCCCCCTTTTGACTTCTGAAATACAGTGCAACTCTTCACCATCTGTTATTTTAAAGCAGAAACAGCAATGAACATATGGGCTTTCTTTCTCAACCAGCTGTAGTGTAGTTAAAGTTATAATAATAGCCTTTCTGTAAGATAAATTTACATTAAAAATCTGGCCAGTAAAGCAACAGTGCTCAGCTTCACAGTTCTTCCAAAGGATTTCAGATTTCCTTGAATTCCATCAATGATGTACTTAGTCACTGCAGAACACTTCCCCATAGAAAGTCACTTTCAAACATGTGACTGCTCCATCCCCGTTCGAAATAGCATATTTAATGTAAACATATTATAGCCCATTTTTTCTTACGTTTAAATAAGTTTCTTACAGTGTAAAACAGTGGTCCATGAGCTCACGGCTTTAAGTAAAGCAGCACAAGTCTAGAAAGCAACCTTAAATATAGCTGCACAACTTACAAGTGTGGTTCATGAAAACCGGGGGGGATCAGTCTGTTTTATTGGAGAGAAAGATACACAGAAACTTAAGTCTACTCTATAAACAAACATCACACAGTTGCACTGATTATGTTCATATACACAAACAGCAAACTGGAGGACCTCATTCGAGCCTCTTCTTTTTCAGCTTTGGTTAAATAAAACAAGAATTACTTACCTTTATCAGGATGATTCAAAATCATGACTCTTCTATGGGCTGTTCTGATTTTGGCCTTGCCAGCAGACGGACTACAAAAATAAATTGAAGTGCTTACCACAAATTCCACCAAATCCAGGCTATAAATTAACAATTTATACTGGCTCCAAAAATAATTAAAATTTGAGATTTTCACCATCTTGTGGACAAAACACAAAACTGCATCTTTGAGGAAGTAACACACTAACAAAGGCATGTGAGACACATTGAGAAGGACATTTTTAAAAAGCCTGCGCATTTGAGGCATACAAATATCGTCCAGGTTTTTTGAACTCAATACATCCACTGCTATGTAAAGCAAACAAAACTAAAAAAAAAGCTCTATGGTATATCCACCCTGAATTCATATCATTAAATGTGGAAGATATTTTTTTCTCTCCTAGAAAATAGGTATTTATATGACCACTGACAAAACAACAAATATTTAATATTACCATATTGTATTCTACTGTAAATATTATTATTGTTGCTATAAATAATTCTTCTTTCTGCTGGGGCCTGAAAAAGCTGTATTTGTTATTTTTACAAAGCTGTTCAATGTGTTACGTTCAGGGACATGTTGATTTACAAGTGCTACATAATGTTGTTTCCTTCAATGACAGATACGTAAAACATGTACTTCAACTAAATTAAATATGTACCTTACCAGATAAATAACCACTTACGGATGCAGTATGCCAGCACAGTAGGTTATGGTATGCAAAAGAACAGTAATATTTAAATATGAATGGTTTACTTTTTCATAAATTGTTAGCATGCAGAAATGAAGCAGTGTTTTCCACTTCAGATCACTTCTTAATCAGTGATAATTCAATTAATTAATCTTTTTGAATGCAAGGTATCAGCCTAACTACATTCCTGAAGTAAACAACCTGTAATTATTATTCTGTCACAGGGAATGTAGAGTATGTTGCAAAAATATTTCACAGAACTGCACAAGAAAAGAATACTTCAAGGGAACAAAGTAAGCCAGAAAGGAAAAAATAAGAGAGGGTGAAAGGCCTCGAGCTATATAGCTCCAAAAAAGAAATGATTTGTTATCAGATAGCTAACGATAACAATTATCCATATTTTGATCTGTAAATGTCTTGTTTAATACTCTAACAATTTAAAGAAAAGTTGATATATCACATTTAGAAATTTAGACCACAAAAGTCAAGTTATGGAAAAGCTGTAGTTGCAAACAATGGAAAATCAGGTTTGCTCTGAAAAACTACTGTGAAAATGACATTTTAAACCAAATTTGTTTGAGGTAAAATACCATTCAAATAGAGTAACATGTAAAATACTGCTTATTTTGCAGTCATGACTCATCACTGAAGACTCTTAGTCACTACCCAGAAAAACACTACTGTCAAATCCTATTTTCACCTGTACAACCTCATGACTTGAGTCACACCAATGTGAAACCCTTCTGACATCACACACTTTCCTCTGCCGGAAATTTCTATCATTTTGGGGGACCACTCCACACACTTGTCGGCAGGGCTGCCATTTAGCATCACCTGGACAGGCTGGAGGAATGGGCCACAGGTACCTCAGGACATTCATCTAGGACAAAGGCAGAGCCCTGCACCAGTGAAGGAAGAAGGCCTGCAACAATACAGGCTGGGACTGCTGGGCTGGGGAGCAGCTGTGCTGAAAGGGACCTGGGGGAACGCGAGCCAGCAGCACGCCCAGCAGCAAAGACGGCCAACAGCCTCCCGGGCTGTATTGACCAGAAGGGCGAGGCACTGGGCTCTCCCCCTCTACCTGGCACTTGTTAGACCACACCTAGATATCGTGGTCCAGTTTTGGGACCCTCAGCACAGGAAAGACGTGGGCAAGCTGGTGGGGGTTCAGCCAGGGCCACGAGGGTGGTGGAGGCTGGAGCACTGGCCCTGTGAAGAGAGGCCAAGGGAGCTGGGCTTGTTCAGCCTGGAGAAGAGAGAGCTTTGGGAAGACTCACAGCAGCCCCAGCACCTACCGGGAGGGGACTGGGATGAGAGAGCTAGGCTTTTCACAGTGGTTCATGGCAGGAGGATGAGAGGCAGTGGGCAAAAACTGAAATTTCAGAGAAGTTCACACTCTAGACACAAGGAAAAAGCTTCTTCACCATGAGGACAGTGCAGTGGAGAAACTGGTTGCCCAGAGAGGCTGTGCAGTCTCCATCCATGGCAGTTTTCAAGGCCCAACTGGATAAAGTCCCAAGCAACCTGGTCTGACCCCACAGCTGACCCTGCTTTGAGCAGAAGGTTGGATTAGGCTGAATTTTCTTAATATGTATATTTGAAGCAGGACCCTCAAACTTAACATATTTTTGTTCTGTTTGTGTGCTTATTTGATGATTATAATGTAATAGCTTGACTGCCTTTTTAAAAAAAATGTTTAGACATTTGCATTAAACTTTTTAACTAATTCATATATTTTCAAATTTTTTGTATATTCACATGCCATTAAGTATTTCCTACAGACAGAGGAACACTGTATTTTGTTTAATGGAGGAAATGGTACAAAATTTCATTCACTTTTATCTAGAATTTTAACTTACCATTTTTATCAGATATATTATCTAACTCCAGGAAGTTCAGCATTAGGAATCTGAGGGTAGCAAACCATTACACTTAATTTTGTCTATTGTTTGGAAAACACTCATGACATTTTCACCTCCCATCTCATCTCAGACATTTCCCCACCTCTCCCTACCAGCAGTTCCTTCTACAGCATACGTAATTGTTAAAATTAATGCTACGCTTATAGTGAGCTTCAGTAATCAGTCCTGCTTCATGGCAACTACTGCAAAAACAGTAAAATTTAAAATTACTGAATATTTCCAATACAGTACTTTGTGGCTTTCAATACCTTTTATACAGTTTAAATACAAACAATGCATACGCATATTTTTACTAAAAATACTACAATCCTAACAGATTGTTATTAGCAAGTAACATTTGAAATGTATAAAAAGTCAATATACTTGAAATGTAAAAGCAACAGTTAAATGCTTGCCTTTATCATGCCTTGTATTTATCATTTCGACAGTACCCTTGCATACTTAGCATTCGAAATAATGAAGAAGGTCACAGAGAACAAAAGTTATAATAATAAGATCAATGTCTAGTCAGATCTGGCTTGTGCATACCCTCGTAGTTTCCATAACACTTTAAAACTGATTTGCTTCTCTTTGTACCACTGTTTCAGCATAGGTAACACTGTTGTAAGAGCATATTTATAATTAATTAAACAGGAAGTTAAATTTAGTCTAGGAAGGTGTTTTTAAACAATATGAAAATTTCCTATAATGATGTTAGCTATGCTTCTACGCAACTAAAGACTCAATCCTTTAAACAGTAAAGAAAAACAACTCTCAAATGGCATTTGCAAGACTGAGCCCAAACACATGAAGCAGTGTCACCATCCTAGGTGTAGACTCAAGCTATTAAAACCAAAAACAAAAGCAGACTCCAATTTAAAATGTGATGAATCTTCACAAGTGAGGTAAAAGAGCAGTATCCAGGCTAAGCATAGCCAATTTAAACACACTTTAATGAGCTGCAACATGCTACTCTGGATTATCACTGAACCTCATCTTACAAGTTAAAACGTTAATACTTTATCAAACTTAAAGGTCAAAGGAAATATGTCTGAGTAGCACTCCTATTAATTTCCTGCTCAGTGTGCAAGCATGAAATATTTCTAACAAATGTATTCTTTTATTTTACAATTTCTTAAAAATGAATGTTACATCTGTATAATCCTCTTTACATTAGAGGTAAACATACATAACACATTGAAACAGGATTTTAACTCCTAGTTGCCACCATCTGAAATAATTTCCTTTGGAGATAATTAAAACCATCCTCCTCAATATTTTTAATCTTAAAATTCAGAGTCAATCTGAATGAGAAATAGGAAACCTACCAGTTAAAGCCCGATCTGCCCTCTCATCTGGAAAGCTTTCAAACTCACTGTTTGTTTTTACAGAAAACACTAAGATGGATGCTACCACTAGCCATCCAGGTATTTCCAAAAAATCCATTGATTCCTAAGCCTGGAAATGACTTCCTATACCTGCTCTAAATTAAAAGTCTCTCTGCATATTTTTGTTTGGAGTATGCGCCAACTCTTTAAACCCAAACAAATCAAAGAGTGGGAAAAAAAAATAGTGACATGAAAAAAAAAAGAGCAAAATTGATTTGCTTTCCTCATTTATTAATACAATCTATGATATTGCTTATCTCAAGGGTTTGGAGGCTTTTTCTTTTTTTGAGAGCCGGCCATGTGATCACACTAATTAGCACAATATGCGCTATCCTTGCTATTCTGATTATTTCTAGAGCACCAATTCTCCACTGTAATATGTTACCATGCCTTCAAGCCACACACAAGTCACGTGTTTTATTAGTATTTTATTGTTTGCTTTTTAGCTTAAACAGAATATTAGAATGGTTTATGAGCCATCAGAAGGCTTAACAAGGTTGGAATTTTGGTGAGAGTGTTCCACATTCTTGCAATATGGATTTCTGCATTCAAGATTCTTCAAGAAACAAAAACATATTAATGCAACACACCTACCTTACACCTAAAATAAGACTAGCTTCTCGCCTACTCATTTTCTGTTCAAATCCTCCTTTGTAGTAGGATGAAAGACTCTATAAAGAAGAAAGGAAAAACATGAAATAATTAGTTCCATGTACAAGGTGCCACAACCTAAATCGTAATATATGACCTCATTCAGAGCATTACCTTTGTCTGTAATTTATTTTGAAGGTATGGAAAAAGTACAAACCAGACAATATCAAAGGACTTCTCCTGGGTTTCAACATATATAAAGGCTGACTTAAACAATGACTGTGTTTTTACTGTCTTCTACTAATAATAACAGATATGAACAGCTACAGCTATTAAATTCCTGTATTCAGGCAAAACAGTCCAGAATCAAAGTAGACACTGCCATGAAGCAGTACATCCAAGGGGCAGGCAAGGAAGAGAGTCTTCTGTTTAAAACAGCTTTGATACCAGTGCAATGGAAAGCAGCAAATGCAATAACAACATTTAAAAGAGATTCTGGCATCCAAGAAATTATGGGCACTTGGACGTCCAGATGTTTCTACCAAGAAAGCAGGTATAAACTAGAGTGAAAGGATAAGAATAGATAAATATTGTATACTGATGAAAAGTCAATGTGTTTTTTGCAAGAAGGAGCAATACCTCAAAATTATGTTAAAAGTTCCTTGATGAAATCACTGACCATGCAAGCCAAGAGTAACTTGGTTGATGTAGCTTTGGTTAATGCAATTTGTTTGCATTTCCAAAAGGTTTTGACCCGGTTCCTCATCAAACTGTTCTTCAAAAAAATAGAAAAGAAAGGACAGCCATGGTTTAGGAGAGAACGTCTTTCCATGGGCAAACAAGTGGTTAAAACACAAGCAGCAAATGGCTCATTTTCTCCATGAAAGGAGGTCACAAAAGGATTCCCAAGCAGGTCTGTGCCAATGCCATATCCATCAGTGACCGGAAAAAAGGGGCTCGAAGTTGTAAAATACATTCAATGCCAACAAATATAAAATAAAGCACACTGAGAAACAGCATTTGTAATTTCAGTTCAAAAACCATCCCTACATATGTAAACTTTTACTACGTAGGAAAAACATCCTAGAATTTTAACAAACAGTTCTATGGAAACTACAGTTCAATGCTTAGTATTTGTCAAGAGAGCACATAAATGCATAAAGATATAACCAACTGTTGAAGAATGGAACCAAAAACCTATTATCAACCAATGGCCTCTGCCCTTCTCAGTATTGTCCACAGTTCTGCTCTGTCCCTGTCTTAAAAGGAAACAGTAGGATTAAAAAAAGAAAAATATAACAAAAACAAAAGAAATAGAATAGCTTTTATTTGAGGCACTAAACAAATTGGAACATTCAGCCTGTAAAAGAAGTGAGTGAGCAGAGATGATAGAGGTGGGGAGGGGGAATCACAAAGGGCATGACACAAAGGTTAATAGCAAAAGATCATTCACTGATTTATGTAACAAAAGAACAAGGGGCATCAGGTCAAAGAAGCATGCTCAAAACAAAATGGAGGTACCTTTCCACACAGCGGATCAGTTAAACCCTGGCACTCACTGCCAGAGGATGTTTTGGATGCCTGAAGTTACAAAGGTTTAAAGAGTGATTAAGTAAGTTTAAAAATAAACAAACAAAACCCAAAATTTAGCATAAAGCTACAACCTCTATTGCAGGAAATCGCAGAGCTGGAGATCACTGGAAAGTAGCAGAGTATACGGGAAGCCCTAACCTACCTTTGCCCTTACGTCCTTTCCTAGACACCCATTACTGACGGATATTAGAACCAGGATTTTTTTTTTTTTTTAAACTATGAGACCTTAGCCATTGCTTTACGGAGAGGAAAAAAAACGACAGGAGTAAAAGAAAATTAAAAACAACGAGATGGATATGAAAGTAAATAATTATAACAATTGTCATTAGAGGAAAAAGGTTGAAAGAATATTTGTCAACGTACAAACACATTTTAAAATGAAAAAAAGTTACTGAACCATCACTCGCAGTCAGCTGTGATCTCCTCAATGCAAATGCTTCTATAAGAGGAATTAGAGACTAGCCTGTTGCAACACAAACAATTCTCTAAGCTGCACGAGCCCCAGAGGCAGCAGATGTAGTTCCAAGACAGCCTGCCTTTGGGAACCAGCGCGCAGAAACCGCTTGACAAGACTGAAGTTCTTTCCTCAATGCAAAATTTATCAGCTGGGGAAAAATAAGCTTCTTTTGTTGCTATCAAAGGGAAGTCTGGCTTGAGAATTGAGATTTTTTTTTTTTTTTAATGTTCCTTTTACATCCAAGTAAAAACATGCCTAGCCCTTAATGACACATTTTTTTCCACCAGTTGCTAAATACATCCACTTATGTCTAATGAGAATTTTGCCTTACCTTTATACAAGCTCTCTCTCGGTTAACTTCAAAAGCATTTATAAGGCTCTGGTTATGATACCTAAACATAGACTTTAATTAAGATTAGGAACAACGTTCACCCAGAAGTATTGTTCAGAAATACTTCATCTGCTACCAACACGCAATTGTGTCTAAAAGCAGTGGTCCCTTAGTGCAGCCATGGCATCGCACACAGCCACAGAGATTTCCTGGTGTGGGGCTACGATCTGCAACAAATTTTCTTTTTCTCCTCCCCCATCACCATACATGGAATATCCATCACTGTAACACTTCAGTTATCAAAACTGAAGCAACTGCTGACACGCCATGCCTACAGCAAAAAAATGTTGAAGAACCATCGCTATAGGGTAACACAGAGCAGGTCTGTAAGAGTGCACATCAACATCACAGGTTAGAATACGTAACACTCAGGGAACACATCAGGCCTTCTGTGGTCCTTCAACAGCAAATGATCCTAGTGACTTTACAGTCACTGGATAAGGTCCTTGAGGAGGTGAAATTGCACAGAAATTTAACAAGCTCATCTAACAGTTAAGGGCAGGAGAGAAGACAAAAGCACAATTTAATGTTTTGTGAAGGCATTTTCCAAAACTTAAATAAATAAATACAGACAGATGGATCTCTGAAAAGGTTAATTCTTCTCTGCTCTTCAGTCTTAGCATACAGCCCTAATACAGGAGGACGCTGGTTCACCGTTCATGTGGAGCAGAGCAATATTTGAATTATCTCTACCAAACCTCTTCTGTAATCTTGGCAGTCTTCATCTGAAGTACTGACCATGCTAGCCCATTTGAAATCAGAGACTAGGGAGGGATGGCTGTAGGCTTAAGTTCAGAAATAATTTTTCATATTTTTAAAGTACACTTCTCTGACACTGTTTTAACTTCAGGAAGCCTTGACTCAGTTAGCTTCCGTGAGGAATGAAAAAAGAAATCCTGTGGTCTATGCCTTTTGGCACAAAACCAAATCTGAACTAGAGCCTTCAAAAACATCATACTGAATTGGTCATCAAGGAAAAGCACTTTCTTCACAGAAGTAAAGCATATGGCAAGAATAATCAATTTCTTAAATTAAGATCTTGCTCCTAAATGGAATATAAAGCAAAAGGATATTAGACATAAAAGCCATTTTTCCCCATGGTTAGAAGGAGAAGAAACAGCAAGTCTTACTTTTAGGGGATATCTTGTCAAATTTCTAGCTCACAAACAGAACAACTTTTGCATACTATTCATATTAAAAGTAAATTTATGTTTTACAATTTAATTGCAAGTAATGGCCACAGAAAAATGCAACAATACTTTCATATTTTCCTATATAAGAATTCTTCAATGACTAGGCAGTTTCATCATTTTATCATTTTTTAACCCTGACCGTCACAAACAACTTCTGTACAGAAAAATCATTGAAAAGTGCTCTCCATTTCTTCATACCTTTTTTGGGGGGGGCGGGGTCCATTTTGTTTCACTGATTTCCTTTTGCAACAGCGTTACTGTTTAGCAACTCACATAAGCAAATTCTGCTTCCTGAACAGATTATATTAAAAGGGGTAGGGGTGGGGGATAGGAAATGCAAACAGGATTTGCTCCACGAATGCATATTCGCTCTTGCAAATTTTCACAAAAGGAAGTCAACTAAGAAAATCTGATTCATTAGCACTATGACACCCTCAAGATACTTTCCTGCATGGCATAAGGTAAATGTGATTGCTGTTTCCATGCCAGATCAGAGAGATGCAAAAGATCGCAACTGAGACCAGACATTACATCATATTATATGAAGTAGTGTTTTGTTTTTTTTTTACTGAAGGCTCTGTGTGTTGCTTTACCAACAATATAGTCACCCACTGAAAAGGTGACAAACACTGGAAAAAGGAAAAAATTATAAACACATCTTCTCAGCAGCTTGTTATTATATTGTGTTTTTATATACCATATAATTTGCTAAGCCCAACTTCCACTTCCTTAACTTTCCTTAGAAAAACTTTACAAAATGGATGGGAAATCGTATTATTCTTTAGAAGCTTTATTTTCATTGAATGACAAGACATGACTGCTACCCTTATCCATCATTCAGAATTCTATGAGCCTGAGCAGAATCAGATCCAGTCGTGGAAATGGAAGGCAAAAATCTCTAATGAAGTACTTAAGAATCTCTAATGAAGTGCTGTAGAAGAGATCCTTTCCATCTGGAATACGGAGCTTTCAGGATTGTGGAATTTATGGATTTTAAGGGGTCATTTTGCCTAGAATTGCTATTTTTATAGCTCAGTCTTCAATATCATGGATCCAACAGGGAAAGCTAATGCCATTGAAATTTCATCTGTGCCTGCCCACCCCCCCATGTTAAGATATTACTGACATGATTAATAGCATTAAGGTCTGTCTGAGGAGGAAAAGCCAAATGACTATTTAGGCCATGCTCCTTCTACTGGCAAGAGTCGTGTCACTACATAAAAAAGCAAAACAGTGTCGCTGACATTAGTGACACGAGTAACAAAACTGGGTTCACATTTAAAAAGCATTTCTCTGGAAACCAACAAGATAGCTTGCTGTAGAGGGGAAATGACAACATTTACTTCTAATGTCTCTTTCCACTGAAATAACACAGTAGAAAACTTGAAGATTAAATTATAGTAGTATTTACAGTTCAAATTTAAGTCTATATATTTAACTGCCATAAATTAAAGTTCAATGGGAGTTAGAAATTCAGACTAAAATATAACAACCTTTACTTGCTATTTTTAATTAAAAATGGGCCTAATTTTTGACTATACATATTATTTATTTATATATGTAAACAGAAAGGATCAGAGACTCAAGATACAGCAGTACAGGCATTTAAAATGATCTCTTCCTAACTGCTCTGCTGGACTTTATCTAACTTGTTTATTAGTGAAGTGGAAGAAAAGATAAACAGCATCTGATTTATTTTCTGAGACTGCAGCTGTCATGAATTGCGACTCCTACTGCAAACAGGGGAAAAAAGGAATTTCAGATGCGGGAGGGAGAATGAAAAAGGTCACAAAGAGAACCAGCCAGCTTAGAAATATAAGGCTCTTCCATACCCTCCCACAAAAGGAGGTAATGAAGGAAAGGGCTTGATTCTAGAAAGCTAGAGTAAGAACTGAAAACTCTAGTGACTTACGAGTCTCCAAGCACCACAGGAAACCAAAAGAGTAACACTAAGCCTAGACATTAAATATCACAGCAAATGTTTTGTTCCAATAACACGGTTCTTGTAGAAGTACTAACTGCTTGATTTCCATTAGTCAGCAAGGTTTAGAAGGCAATATGCTGTAAAGAGAGGTGCTGAAAGAGCTAACCCATAAATTATACTTGGCAGCTTCGAATTCCCCAAATAAAATCAGGTAAAGCCATACAAATAAGAAGTTTGGGCAATAAGGACTTACATAGGTAAATAACTTACTTGGTAATTAATGTTTCCTCTTTCTATTGCTTTAAAAAAAAATTAAAAACAGGGAATAGTTGATTGTAAATGGCAGGAAAAAAAAAGTCACAAAACATACAATCCAAGAAAGTAGTTGTAGAGCAGACAGCCTAAATATCTTGGCTGAGAATTAGACAAGGGTCTTAAATTTGCACCATGCTTGCAGAAGAATAAGTATTATCATTACCCTCATAAATGTGACGTTAACAAGTATATACAGCTAATGGCAAAGTAGAAGAGAAAGTTCTCCTGAATTTAGCAGGCAAGAAGATAGTGTTACACTGAAATCTTGTATTTTCAAGTTCAGAAATAGAACAGGAGAAGACAGATACTGCACTCAAGATCAACATAAAATTCTAGGCTTCAAGGAGGGGTTTGAAGGCAGAAGGAGAATATGACTCCAGGGATTAGGAGCACAGTGACAACTTAGATGCTCCCAGGTTGCTCTTTTGGGATGTTCATTAATTCTGTAGGGCTCAAAGTCATTAACATTAGAAGGAGATAGGTCTGTCGTGATTTTGGCTCAACCAGTATACTGTTTCTGAGGGCTATAGTTTCCCCAGACTAGACACTTCCCGTGCAGTAGCATGTCATATTTCCATGTGTTAAAAAGAGTCACTGCCTGCATTCTTATGTGTGCACGTCTGCATTTAGACACTACAGCTTATATCCACAAATGATGAAAAAATGCTGGAGTAAAACTTGTGGCAAGGAAGGATGAACACTGAAGCACATCCTACTCTCAGGCCACATGTCCTTATTGCTAACTACTTTTTTAGGAAGCCTGTAAGTCAGGCTGTGTATATTGCATAAAAGCAACAGAATTCACAGTACCTGCAATGGCCCCTATGCCTCTGCGGCAGGCAGGAATCTCTCCAAAAGGGACTTAAAAAAGAAATACTCTTGTTGGTGTTGGTCACGCAGTAGCAACACAAAAAGAAATAGGAAAGAGAGCAATAACTGATCTAGAAACACTATTCCTGGCTCATCTGCATCACAAGTAAGAAGTATGCGTCAGTCCCAAAGGATAGTCCATGCTTCACGTGTCTTTCCCTTCCCCAGAAGCTTGCATTTGATCAAGTCTGCACCTTCAGAACATGTACAGACAGTCAATGAATCTGGACCCTAAATTCTTAATATGCAGCATATAGAAAAGCCCTGTGTTGCAAATAGCCTCACATAAATAGGTATGATGCTAATTAACAATTAAAAAAAAAAATCTACTTTTAATACGACTTTCAGGAAATAATATTCTACAACAACTACACCCTCAACACCTTCCCTTACCAGCAAAAAGGGCACCGTATCCTACAAACAAGCAGACACCTACCTCAGTGGGAACTACTTTACTCAGACAGGAACAGAATTTATTTATTTACCAGAGAACAGTGTAAACAGCAAAGCCAAAAAGCAAATGCTCTGGAATATTCCCTGTATATGCTCCTCTACCAACACTCAATTTTCTCCCTCATTATTATTATATTTTTATTACATTTTAAAGTACATAGAGCAAAACAAAGAGTAGAAACTTGGTTAAAAGTTCAAATTAGATGGGGAACACAAAATAAAAGATAATTCATGTGAACAAGAAAAAAGCTTCCTCCCCTACCCCGAGCTTTGGTAACCTTTCCTAGAAGTTTCCCTATCAATTTATTTTCTGGATTTTAAAGACTGTATTTAAAAGACTAAACTTTCATTTTCAGCTTCTTAAAAGGAAACTGCAGTTATCACTTTATAAACTCTAGTCCATTTCAGCTCACTTTAACTTAAATTTCTCATAAACTTACCAGCAAAGAGTTCTGAAAAATTGAACATCACTTCAGGAAAATTAAAACTGCTTATCAGATCTCATAAACATCTTTTGCTATAGCTTATAGCTTTATCTATAGATGTTTAAAATATATCAGATAAACACTAGAACATACAGAGCAAGGAACAGTCCTATTCCGGGGGAAAAAAAAAAAAGCTTGCACTTACTGTATTCTACACCAGAGTAGCTTCCTTTTAAATACTTGAAATATGTAATCATAAAATTAGCATCCACTATCCTCTAAACTTACAGAAGTTGAAATCCTCTTTGCTGTCTCTGTAATTGCCTGCTCCAATGGTTTCCAGAGGTGGAATGCATAACGACCTGGAAAAGATTGAAGTTAAAAGAAATTATAAACAACATTCATTGGGGGATGGGGGTCTCTGACATATGCTCACCAACTTATAGCAAGAATAATTTTGGTTAAAAAAAACAAACAAAATTCTTCTTCATTGTTAATCTTTCCATCTCATTTCTTTGCTGTCCAACACTGTTGCACCTTATTGCTTTTCAAGATGTTTCCTGAATAGCCAATTTTGGAGGCTTGCCCAGCAGAGGTCCCACAGTGAACTTGGAATGTTTTATATTTTTTAATATTTGTACTAAGGGAAGGGGGAAAAAAATAAGTTTTATATATTTAATCTAAAAACCTAGCCATGGCCTGCAAATATTGTGCTTGCTCACAGAATAAACAGATTCAATTGCATTTCGATATGACAAATGGAAACATCTGCCTTGTGAACTTTAAGAAAGAGGGTAATATGTAATTTTAACTTTGGATATACATTATTTATTAAATACTGTTCAAAGGTTATATCTTAAAAAAAACTGTACGTACTACATGCCTCTTGCTGTGATGTTGCATGCTTACTCACGTATTTTGTAAGTAAGTACTGCATTTTTTATTTAGTTACAAAGAGAGGATCTTCTGGGATTCACAACCATTCATCTCCCCAATGGCAGTGAATATGTCTACAGCTAAGAGAGGCTATATGAACTTCGCAAAGGGAACTCGCATTAGACTGTTTTTGGAAGCACAAAGTAGGTTTATCAACTTAAGAATCAAGATCTGTGCTATGCTACTGTAGGATTTTCCCTCCACGTCCCCTCCCACCCAGTTTTTGTTTTGATTAACTATTCATTAGCAGTGTACTTACTATTATACACAATGTTAAACCATTTATTAAAAAGGCACTGCATTATTCAGATTGCATCTTGTTTTCATTCTTAAAATATGGGACGTCTATATAGGTTATTTTAGTCATCTAAATTAAACCTAACTAAACTAAAAAGCTTCCACTTTGTCGTAAGCTAAAATAAATAAATAAATAAATAAAGCCATCTTTTCTCATGACATTTTGAAGGCAAAAACACAATGGAACTCCTTTAGCTGGTGCCCATAAAATAAGTTTCTCCAGGTGCGACTTCTTCAGAAATAATTTTAGAAACGTATCAAGGATTTTGAAGGGACAGAAACTACAATGGGATACAATTCTCCAGTAGCTCTATCAGGCAACCTTTCCACTTCCCAATTTATTTATACTCTGTAAGAACTCCATCAACCCTTTTGGAAATAGCATCTGACAAGTGCCAGTTCCACACTCTGCTGGTAATTTAGTTTACCTGCAAATGCAACGGTTGCAACACCAAGTCCAACTGCTATCACAGTTCTGGCCTAAGGCAGAAAAACAGAAATGAGAATGAATGTTAAATTTTGATTAAAAATGTATTCAGCTCTTACTTTAATGGCAATTATTTCTGATGTCCGACTTGGATATTTCATATGTAATTTATTTGGAAGACAAGGAAGAAGTTCTGTGTTCCACAGGATACATTACTTTTTATTGTTCAGTCCAATTATTAACCCATACCAATGCTTCAGGATTTAACTTGCAACTACTCATTAGCAACTTAATGAATACATACTAGCACACTGCTAACAGTACATAATAAAATAAATTAATAAATAACCCAAAGCAGACAGCTAATCAGGACCACCTGAAGTAAATCCTGCAGACTAGTTCAACATATTTTGAAGTGATCATAACAGAAAGTATCAGTATATTTGAAAAACATGAAGAGTTCAAAAACTGTAAGGCACTGGTTATTATTTCACAAAGTTCTTTACTGGGAATATCATCATGACAATGCTTGAAAATGAGAACAGAATTAACATTAAACTCTGTAGTTGGGCTCGCTCATTAAGAAACAACCCTGATCCCAACTGACCTCTGGCACTCATTCAAAGTCAGTCCCATCCTACAGTTAAGGTCACAAAGCTAAGTTGGGATCTTCCATCTTTCATTGTTTGAAAGCCTCAATGGAAGCCTCAATAAATACATGAAGCCCAGTAACCTCTTTTCATTATTTATTGTCAGTTGCTGGTTGGATTCTATCTTATATTTGATATTTCCAAATAGAATTATGACATTCTTCAGGCAGTTTTCATCAGCAGTTTAAATGCGCTTTAAGCCTAACATCTACTTTAGGCCACGCTGAACGTTTACTTTAGGCCACAGTATCTCCTAGCTTTTGCTAAATCTAAAGCCCTGGATTAGGTGTGCCTATTTTCCTATACAGTGCTTGAAGAAGGGAAGGTATCTCAAGAAGAGCAATAAGAAACATCTCCAAGTTTAAGAAGCTGCTAAAAGATATCCAGTAAAAAACCTGGAAGAAAGCACTGACTCCTCATATGTCCCCAGAACCGAGGGCAGTCAGCACTGAAATGGAAAGCCCATCAATCCACTTCTGAAGAGCCTATATATAATCTGAAATAAACCCGCTCATCTTCGTGCAGTCTATGGCATTATCTGTCTTGTCTTATCATATGATAGTTTAATAGTGCCTTGAACTTTTACTCAGGAAACAAGAGAAATCAGATGAGGCTGCTTCAGCCTGAATTCAAAATATATCTACAGTAAAAATTCCTTTATCATCAGATTGACTCTAAGTGTGGCTGTCTGCTCCTATAATAATTTCTGCATTTATTCAGTCACCGTTTTATATATTTTCTACCAACAAGCCTGAGAGCAGGACTGGAATCCCAGTTTTGAAGGTGTGTGCCCTAATAACAGGATTTGGAGCCTCGCTCCCTTTGCTTGTAAGATATCTGGGGCTAAAATAGCCTGTCCTTAATTGTACTCAACTTTTCTAACCAACTGTGTCTAGACAGAGAGGTAATAGAGGAGGAGTTGGGAAATACAGGCTTAAAACCCTTCTAGATTTGGATTAGTAGGGGCTAGAACACATCAACAACTTTCTCAGCGTATGGACAACTGTATAAAACACAGGCATTACCATTGCACCCAGTCGCTCTCTATAGCTATGTCTCCCAAGGAAAGTGGCTGGGATTGCAGTCTGTAATATTAAACTCAGCATGAAAAAAGTGGTAGCCTGCTCAGAGCCTATCTATAAGAAGCTGTATTCCTCCCTATAAGAAGCTGTATTCCTCTACATACAGCTTCTGGATCTGAAAGTGTTTTTTTAGCTAGACACCTACATCCTACCTACTCAGATGAGGCTAATCCAACCAGTTCTGTAATACAATATCGCTGTTTCCTAGAGGTGTATAGCTAAAAAAAAAAAAGAAAAAGACACCAAGCACTAAATATGCTGAAAGTAGAGAAGCAGAGATTGGAGGAGTTTTTGCCAGAGGTGTTTAAAAACCTACTTGTATTTCCCATTTCAGGTAGCTAACTTTCCCGTTCAGTGTAGCTTTCAGTCTCAGTATTAGCATCAATTTCTGAATGATAAGCATGTAAAAATAATGTAGCAGTTTTATGACTGTTGTTCCTTTCAATTCCACAAAATTTCCCTTCATCTTTAGACCGTGAAAAAATGTAAGTATGTTACCTTAAATATTATAGGATATAAAATAATGAAGCATACAGCTCATCTCCTCACTAAACTAATAATTCTTTCCATTTCTTCTCACAAATCACTTTTGCCAGGCTCTCAGCACTCAAAACCTTCTACAAAATTCTAAATCCCACATTTAGACAGTAACCAGCAATGGCTACAATATTTCTGGAAATATTGTAACATTATAGACATCATATATTATTCTCTATTTTGTAGTTTATGACCATGGGTTTATATTCCCTAGAGACTTTCCTTGACTTAGTAAAAGATTCTAGCTGTCACTCTGAACAAGTGGTTACACTCAATTAAGGGCCCAATAATGTATGAAATAGCTCATATTGCAAAAAAAATATTTATTAGCTTCTGCTTGTCAAAATTAAGTTATACTTACTTTACCACCATAAAGGTGGTTTAAGTCAGCAGTTTACCACAAGGCATGCTGTCACTGACGAGACATTAGCAGCAGACATCTCATCACAGGTAAGGCAGAGCACAGACAGCAGGCTAAAAAATAATACCCAGACTCTGTCAGTTCAATGTAGAAATAGCTTAAGCGGTTTGGGAACACAATATAGAGACCCCTGAGGGCCCCAGATAAGAGTCAGTCATGTCCGCTGGAGCATATTTTATCAGTCTCAGTGGAAAGCGTTCGCAGCAGACTAAGAAAAAAGATTGGCAGCAGCTCTGGCATAGGAGCGGCAAGTAAGATCAACAGGAATCTGAAAACCAGAGAACTAGGTAAAACTGATTGGAAGTTCAAGCCAAAGAGGCATTAAAATTTGCCCACAATTTCAAGCGCGGTACATCTACCAAAAAGACTGAGAAGCACTGGTGTAGGATAGCTCACCTTATCTGCATTAACAACAGATTACAGTAAAGTCACTTGCCACAGCTTAGCCAAGAAGCAGTAACTTGTGATGCTGAGGCATCTTGAATGTTCGCCATGAGATCAATATATTATAACTATACCAAAAAAAAAAAGACTTTAAATCTAACAAAATTTGTAAAAGTGCATGGTTATCTTTTACTAAGACAGGCTTTCTTATAAGATTAGTGATAATTTCAAGTACTGACCAGTAAACACTAAGTCTAGCTTACCTCAGTTTCCTTATTTACGCTCACTAATCTCAGGTGATTTAGAAGAATAACTCAATGTTTGTCCAGTGCTTTCAAGTATAAAGTACTAAATATTATTCTTACAACAAATACAGACCTTCAATTAAATGCATTGATTTCTTGTCAATATTAAAGCAAGGCAATTCATTATCACTCTACAAAGGATCAACTCATTTATGACATACTAAGATAAGTATCACCATGACTATTTTTGGTTCTCATTGGAATAAGATGCATTTTATTTCAGACTCATAAAGGCTCAATTACTTAATAAATACTCACTGACTTTCAGTTATGAGAGAACTAGCATTATTTTTTTTCAAAAAAAAGTGTTAAGAAATTTGCAAGACAAAAGTTTAAATGCAATCGTTCTCTTAAGATACAAGAGGGAAAAATAATGAAATAAAAGATTAAAAAGTAGCATCTGCACCTTTCCTTATTCAAAGCATCATCTCCCAAAGGTTATTCATCAACCCTGTTCTATTCTGCTGATTTCAGTATTTTAATTTTATTATGTTGTTCAGCTTTCAGTAATAAACCGTTTTAGACAGATGACGATAAAGAAAGTTTTGCTAACTCTGCAAAACGGAGTCACAGAATAGTTGAAGTTGAAAGAGATGTCTGGAGATTGTCTAGTCCAACCCCCCTGCTAAAAACAGGGCCAGCTATAGGAGGCTGGCCACTGGATTTTCTTTATTCCTTTGAGAAAGGTGTATAAGAAAACATAAACATTAGAATGGTGACCGCAAGACTGGACTTACTGTGGTGAGAAGTTACTCTTGGTAAACAAGAGGATAAAGCATATACCTCTAAAACATACTAATTAATATCTCATATACTGTTAGCATACAGAGATCTATGGCCAATCCTTTAACATATAGTTTTCCAGTAGCCTTAACTTCTTAAGCAAAAGAAACTGGGATGAATTAGATATTCTTTCTGCTAATGCCTAGTCCACAATGCTCTGTCAACCTAATCATACTCACAAAAAATGTACCAGCAACAGCAGCAACCTTTCCTTCTGTGTAGCAGAAAAAAAGGACAAGTTAAAAAAGAATAAGTTAAAAATTCATAAACATGAAGAGAACTTGACCTTCTGAAGTCTTTATCTGGGAACCAATGAGCATGCATATTACCCCCTCTTCCACTATCTACACAAGAGCATCTACAGAAACTGTGAAATATATTCCATTGCCAATAGTATACTATCAGTTCACAACTTGTAAAATGCTTTTTCAGATCTTTGTAAGACGCCGAAAACTACAAGAGAAGAGCTTTTTAAAGAACTGCTTCACAACACATCCAGTCAAGACCAAGAGAATGCTGGTTAGAAGAGATGAAATCATTTCAATAATATTCTCACCTTCTGCTGAACAGAAGTCTCCAACTACTACAGAAATGGTTAGCCTCTACCCATTTTATTCCTCAAAAAGCTTGGATGAGCTGGTACGGCCACATGTAAAAGGATGTCTTAGTACCCGCAGACCCAAAGGTGAATTATCTTCCATTTTTCCACAACACAGAGCTGATCACAGTAGTGCATGGATTTTGATTTAGAATTATTATAGTTCATAGCACCTGAATCTGAATGTGAAAATACCGCAGCTGGCCAAATGGTCCAAGTCTGGTTGATTACTGGTACATGGTTTAGGTTACCACAAATACAGAGCCCTTTTTGAAATCTTTCCCATCTCTTCTGTTTCAGTATCAGTTGCAACTATCTTCAAAACAATGACCTGATCAACCTCCAACTCCACTAAGGATAAACTTTAACCTTATGAATCACTGTGACAGCAACACAATGTAATGTTGAACACAGCCCAGAAATAAATGCTTAAAAGCAGAAGATATCGTATTCTTCACTAAAAGACCTGGCTAGAAAACAAACTTTAAGACAAAATTGCTGTAATCTAGAATCTAGTCCTCTTTAACAACCTACAGCAATCTCTAGACCATAGCAAGAATACTACAAAACTACTCATATCAATAAAGAAGCAAACTACACTAATCCCACACGCAATTTTTATCCTAGATAGGTAAGAAGATCTAGGGACTCATAAAATTTACTAGAAATTTCAGTGCTACCACTCTACAGAGAAAGCACACAGACATGACAATGATGAGTTTCAGAGTACACTTCTTAAGATTGCACAGTTTGCTGTCAAACATACAGAAAGACTGGGCTGGAAACAGATACTCTAGTCCTAGACTGTAGTATCAATGAATAAGTAATCCATAGGGAACTTCGATTTAAAAAAATGGTAGTATTTTTTAAAAAGAAAAAGAAGAACATGCAAATAATGAAGTAAGGTAAATACGTAATTGGGATCATTTTAAAAGCATGAAAGCTTTTTTTTCCCCCAATAAACTATAAATATGTTTAGTTTTAGCCACACAAACACTGATCAATGCTGACCCACATATTTTCCTCCTTTTTTTGTTTTCTTTTTAAACAGAACTCACTGTCTCATGAACTAGTTGATGTGAACAGGAAGAATAAACAGGATACAGTTAAAAACCCCTTCTCACTAGAGCCTGGCATCATATAGGGAACTCAGGAGATATTCTGCCTCCCTTCTAGACCCAATCACAGAATCACAGAATCGTTTAGGTTGGAAGGGACCTCTGGAGATCATCTCGTCCAACCTCCCTGCTCAAGCAGGGTCACCTAGAGCATATTGCCCAGGATCACATCCAGACGGGTTTTGAATATCTCCAGCGAAGGAGACTCCACCACCCCTCTGGGCAACCTGTTCCAATGCTCTGTCACCCTCACAGTGACCCACCTCCCTTCACAAGCTGTCAGATGAGAATTCCTTCTCCGAGATCTCTACAAAAAACATTAATATTCAAATTTCCCGCAATAAAACTCAACAGGGTAAGTGAAAATTTCACAGGTAACATCTCTTTACAGCGAGGTAACAAAATTTCAGGCCTTGTCCTCTCGTGCCTGAGAGAGCTTCACCAACCCAACGCTCAACGCAGGGCCAGGACAGCTCCTACTTGGGTTTCGCACCAGCAGAGCTAAACCGGCGCTGGCAAGGCTACCTGTTTTATGAGGCCACATCGCCAGGGCACACGCAGCCTCTCCCCAAGCCGGCATCCTGCCCCCACAACCCCGTCTCCTCCCAGCTCCTGCCCCTGGCGGGGTCAAAGCCCGGGGGGGAGGAGGGCAGGGCCCCCCTCACGACTCAACGGTCCGTCAGGCGCGCGGTGGCGAGGGGAAGGGCGGCCGGGCCGCGGCGG